GTTCGCCCCTGACTGCATGTATATGATTTTGAAAAAAAGCAACATGCATTTTTATTGCATAAAAAATAATTATATAATTAATAAAAATGCATGTTGCTATTTTCAAAATCATATACATGCAGTCAATGAATGTCCACAAATCACAAATAAAAATTTTATAGTGCATATTTTTGAATTTTAAATGCATATAAATCGTTTTTCCCTGGGACTCAAATTACCTACTACCTTATTTTTTCTGGGACTCAACTTACCTACTACTTATTTTTCCCCGGGACTCAATTTACCAACCCCGATATAGATATCTACAACCCACCATTGATTAAAAAATATAGTCATAATATAATCAATGGCAGTTTGTAACATAGGTAGATACTTACTATAGTATATATTAGCCTGCCTAAATAAACGTTATAAATGTTATAATATAAATACAAAGCAACGTAAATTAGTTTTATCTGAAATTTTGCGTTACCGTTTATAAATTAAACAAATATTAGGTATTGTTAATCATAGAGAATGTGATTATATTATATTGACCGTACGAAATTAAAATCAAAAAAATCAAATAGTTTAATAATATGATTATCTCCAATGATTTCGCAGTKTAAAAGAGCAACAAATGTTTTTTTTTATATATCCCTTGTTTTCTTTCAAATGTGTGTTCAAAAGGGTTTCTGTCTAAATATCCAAGTTAAAAAATGTAGAAAAATGTGTTTAAAAATGARATAAATACAAACATTTTAAAATTTCATTAAACTCCAATGATATGAAATAAAATATAAGTTGATTTGAACTTAAATAACTCAGTTACGTAGATTAGCAGATAAAAATATCAAATAACACAAGCTTAAATTTAGCCTGAATATTTTGGGCATTTTGTTGAGTATAAAATGATAAATTAAGGAATAGAGTAATGTTTCTCTGTATTGAACTGACTTGTAAGAAGATCAATCTTATTTTTTAGGTTTGAACATCTAATGTGTCCACTAAACTTCAATTATTCATGAAAAATATATGACTTCAATAAGCTTAACATTTTTTAATTCCCAATAAAAACACCCAAGGAATCTTGTTTTGATTTCCAAACCTAAGGTTTTAATATTAAAAACTATTATTACATTTAATAATACCAACTAAATTTACATTGGCTTAGTAACAGCGAGTTTTTTTTTTWAACATAAAAACAAATGTACCTGTGGAATTCATCTATGATTTATCTCATGAATTAATAGTACTTTATAGCTTGTTATTTCCATGCCCTTCCATTATTCGGAATGACTCATACTATACCTACAAGTATTGATACTTCTTTGCTACATAGAAATACAAATTTCCATGTGCTATAATCACTTTTAAATGCAATACTTACTCCCTAAGCGACCAAAAAATGTAACTAACAATTTGGTTTTTTTTTTATTATTATTAGTTGATAACAAGAAAAACGTGAACATAAAATAACAGAATATCTTCCAGTTTATATCAATATTACTCAATATAAATAATTAATAAATAACAATTTGAGCTAAGTTTCTTTAGTACACAGATATCAAGTATTAAAAATAAATAGAACACATACTATTACTCACAACTTATTTAAAATATCTTTATTATTAAATTAAAATACAGTCTTGAGTTTCCAATAAGTTGTTTAAATATAAAACAAACAATTAGATAAATTAAATACTTAATCATTAAAATTTTAAAGATAACAAACTGTTCATCAATCATTTTTATTAAATGACAAACAAGTATGTTATGACGACAATTAAATGCTGTGACATTTGTTTTAAGATCTTATGCCGTGTTAGTTATAATAACAAAATTTAAGTTTTAATAAAACCTTTTCATTTTTTTGATAATTCATTTTCTGAAGTAGACAACAAATTTTCCATGTAACCATTTTCATCTAATAATGTTCTGTTTAAGCATACCGATACTTGGTCATCAATTTCATTCATCCCATCATCAAATGGGATACAAATTTCATCAGGATAATTAGATTTAAATTGATGTGCAGTATCAGAACTAGATTTTAGTTCCAAAGATATATTACTATTATTTTTATGAACAGTGTTATCATTGGTTACATTGGCATTTAGTTTATCACTATCATTGGAAAATTCATGATTATTTACAATGCTTGTCAATGTATTTTCAGTTTCATTGATATCTTCTTCATCAATTACAGAATTATTTCGGCCTGATTTGAAGTCCTGATACACTACACAGTCCTCAACAATAATGCTACCATTACAACTAGATGAGATTTCCATATCAGTAAAGTGATAATTTAATTTATCACCGCCATCGGAAAATTCATGACTGTTTGCAACGCACGTCAATGTATTTTCAGTTTCATTAATATCTTTTTCATTGATTACAGAATTATTTTGTCCTGTTCTTAAGTCTTGACAAACATTACAGTCATCAACAATACTACTATTGCAGCTAGATGACATTTCCATGTCCTCAGTAATTTCACTCTTATTATAATCAACGGCTGTTTTATACAAATCTGAATTTGAATGCACTGTGCTGAAACTGTCTACATTATTTGAATGGTATTTWATTTCAGGATCTTTAATCATTGGAGTAGAAAAACAAAGTTTTGATTTGTCAGAACTTAGAACGGCTGATACATTCCAATCTTCATTATCATTGCCAARATTTACTGAATTTTCCAATAGATTGTACTCTTTTCCACTATTATTTGATAATGAATCTGAGTCTGATTCGTTTTCATCTGAACTAAATTCYGACTGCATACTTTTTATCAATATCCATTCTCCACTTTCATTTTTTGTGGTATAGTAAAGTTTATTGGCAATATCTCTATTTAATAAAAATTAAATTAATTAAAACATAAGTATAAATTGTAACATTAAACATAATATACTCATAAAATATTTCATAATACCCTAGAAAAACTAAAATATGCACTAAAAAGCGAAATAACGAATCTGTTTAGTTTTTTTTTTTAAAAAGCATAGCAAATAAATTATAAATAAACAACAAAAATATGATAATCGATAAAACAATATTCAATCATTTATCAAGATTATTATAAGTTATATCATGTATTATATGAAGTTAATAGTAATGAGGTTACATGTTTTTGTATACATACACTTTAAATGGGGAGGGGAGAGGCTAAGCACTCACAAAATAAAAATTATAACTATTACTTTTATGTTATTAATATCTCAATTTATGACTCATAAACTTCTGTAGGACAATTTAAGTCTTTGCTAAAATTTAATCAATTCACCACCTATATATGTATTTTACAATTAAACTTTATTAACCATTTTAATTCTTTAATTGTTCAATTATTAACTAAAACATAATCTTATCCTGGGCAATTCATTAGTTATCAAAAATCTGATCTACCTATACAATCYGTCCTTATAATTATTTCAATAAAGAAAAATCTTATAAAATTATCTATGATAAATAATAAATATTATTTAATTAAATTTTTATGTACTAACTCCAATTTATCTATAGATGAACAGCAATCTGAAACATATGGAATAATTTTATTTAACGGTATTTCCATATTGTGACCAACCATATATTTCTTGTCTTGTGAAGCTTCTGATACAAACTTTCTCAACTTCTCATACATGGACCGTTCCCAACGATTTTCATCATTAAATTCATATGGATAGTCAACACGTCTCAACAATTTGTAAGGAGTTGAATCCTGAAAGTGTAATACCATGTTAACTATTTATATGAATAACTTGTATTAGTGTATGGTTATGTTATATAAGTTAAATAATTCTGATAAATACTTAGTAGGATTTATTTAACTAATCATATACACTATACTAATTGACCAGGCAAAAATTGTAATGTTCATAAAGAATTTATTTTAAATTTTTATTTTGGAGACAACAAACAAGAGAAAAATCAT